ATTTTGAGTTCTGTTTTTTCTGTGCCTTCAGACATATTCAAAAGTCATGAGAATTTATTACCTTACATTTTTTTTCACAGATCATTGGAGAGATCTCTAAAAAAGTGGCTCAAATTCAGAATGGTAAGCTAACCTGTCTTTTAAATCTCAAATCCACAATTAGACGTGGGGATTTCAACGCTTGTCTCTCAATAATCAATAGAATAAGTAGATAAAAAATCAGTAAGGACATAGAAGAACTGAACAATTGTATTAATCAATTTGACATTTATAGAACACTCCAGGGGACATTTGTTTTTTTGTTTTTTTGTTTGAAAGATTTTATTTATTTGACAGAGACAGCGAGAGAGGGAACACAAGCAGGGGGAGTGGGAGAGGGAGAAGCAGGCCTCCTGCTGAGCAGGGAACCTGATGTGGGGCTCGATCCCAGGACCCTGAGATCATGACCCGAGCCAAAGGCATTCGCCTAACCGACTGAGCCACCCAGGCGCCCCATCCAGGGGACATTTGTATCTGGAGAAATTTTGATTTTTACAACTTGGGATGATACTGGCATCTAGTGGATAAAGCCAGGGATGCTGCTAAGCATCCTCCAGTGCATTCTACAAAGAATTTTTGGCCCAAAATGTCAGTAGTGCCACTATTTAGAAACACAGTTCAAAAAGAAATTGAAACCTGAGTAGCCTTCTATTTTTTTTTTTTAAAGATTTTATTTATTTATTTGAGAGAGAGAGAAACAGCATGAGAGGGGAGAGGGTCAGAGGGAGAAGCAGACTCCCTGCTGAGCAGGGAGCCCAATGTGGGACTCGATCCTGGGACTCCAGCATCATGACCTGAGCCGAAGGCAGTCGCTTAACCAACTGAGCCACCCAGGCGCCCCTAGCCTTCTATCTATTAAAAAAAAAATTTTTTTTTTCTTTTTAAGTAAACTCTGCCCGGTGTGAGGCTTGAGCTCATGACCCTAAGATGAAGAGTTGCATGTTGTACCAAGTGAGTCAGGCAGGCACCCCTATATCTATTAAAGAAATTGAATTCATCGTTAAAGCCTTCCAGCAAAGAGAACTGCAGGTCCAGATGGCTTCCCTGGTTGGTTGTACCAAACATTTAAGGAAGAAATAATATCAATTCAACCTAGTTTCTTCCAGAAGATTGAAAGGAAAGGAACACTTCATCATTCATTTTATAAATTTTAGTATTAACATTACCATGATACTAAAATAAAAAAAAGACATTGTACGGTTAGAAAAAAACTGCCACCCGATATTCCTCATGCATATAGACGTAAAAATCTTCAACAGAATATTAGCAAACCAAATCCAGCAATTTATAAAAAGGATAATAAATCACAACCAAGTAAGATTTACCCTGGAATGCATGGGCTGATTTAGCATTCAAAAATTAATATTAATTCACTTATCACCATTCTAAAGTAGAGAAACCACATGCTCATCTCAGTAGATACAGAAAAAATATTTGGCAAAATTTAACATTCACTCATGATGAAAACACCACTAACTGGGAATAAGAGGGAATTTTCTTTTTTTACCCTGATAAAGCACTTCTACCAAAAAACCTATAGCCAGCATCATAATTAATGGTGAAAGATTGCATGCTTTCCTCCTAAGGGCAGGAACAAGGCAGATACCTATTCTCACCACTTCTATTCAGGGTCTTACTGGAATTCCTAGTCAGTGCAGTAAAGCAAGAAAAGGAAATAAAAGGCACACAGATTGGAAGGGAAGAACTATAATTCTCTGTTCTCAGATCAAGTAATTTTCCATGTAGGAGATCCCAAGAAATCTATAGAAAGATTTCTTTCTTTTTTTTTTTTTTAAAGATTTTATTTGTTTATTTGACAGAGAGAGACACAGTGAGAGAGGGAACACAAGCAGGGGGAGTGGGAGAGGGAGAAGCAGGCCTCCCCCTGAGCAGGGAGCCCGATGCGGGGCCCGATCCCAGAACGCTGGGACCACGACCCAAGCTGAAGGCAGACGCTCAACGACTGAGCCACCCAGGCGCCCCTATAGGAAGATTTCTAAAATGAATAAGTGAGTTTAGCAAGGTCACAATAGACGGTCAATACACAAAAATCAGTTCTGTTTTTATAAAGTAGCACTGAAAAATTGGTACTAGAACATTTTTAAAAAGTGCTATTTACAAAAGCACCAAAACACAAGAAATACTTAGGTATAAATCTAACAGAACATATGTGCAATCTGTATGCTTTTTTTTTTAAGATTTATTTATTTTTTTTGAGAGAGAGAGATGGCAACAGAGAGCACAAGTTGGGAGGAGAGGGAGAAGCAGGCTCCCCAGGGAGCCTGACACGGGGCTTGATCCCAGGACCCCAGGACCATGACCTGAGCCGAAGGCAGACGCTTAACGACTGAACCACCCAGGTGCCCCCCCCCCTTTTTTTTTTAAGATTTTATTTATTCATTTGAGAGAGTGAGAGAGAACATATGAGAACTGGCAGAGGGAGAGGGAAAAGCAGACTCCTCTGCTGAGCAGGGAGCCCGTGCAGGGCTCGATCCCAGGACCCTGGGGTCATGACCTGAGCCGAAGGCAGATGCTTAACTGACTAAGCCACCCAAGTGCCCCTGCAATCTGTATGCTTAAAACTACAAAACACTGATAAAGGAAATCAGAGACAACCCGAGTACATGGAGAGATACACAGCATTCATGGATGGGAAGACTCAGCCTAGTAATGATGTCAGTTCTGTCTCTTTACAAATACTCACAATCAAAGTCCCAACAGGATTTTTTTTTTTTACTAGGTTACCAGATTTTTTTCTGCATTTTAAATGGAAAGGCAAAGGAGCTAGAATAGCCAAAACAATTTTGAAAAAGAACAAGATTGGAGTATTCATACCACCTGATTTTTAAGATTTAATATAAAGCTACTATATTCCAAATAATGTATTGGTGAAAGACAGACAATCGGAACAGAGTAAGAAGAGCAGAAATAGGGCCACACATGTGGCCAGTTGACAACGGTACAAAAGCCATTCAGTGGAGAAAGGGAGGGATACTCCCTTGCAATAGCCATGTGATATTTTATTTAACAAAGCAGGGGTCATTAACCATTTTTCTTCCTCTGGTGGGCTCTCCCAGCTGCTCCCAGCCTTGGCTGCCATAGACAACACCTTAGCAAAGTCCCTTGTGCATATTCCTTTATAATAAGTACCTTAGGCTTAATTCTCAGGGTATAGTCTTTGCCAAAAAATGTCCCCATATAACAACACATTGCTTTTCTGAAAGGGTGAAACCAATGCAGAATGCTCCCAGGCCCTGGTGCTTGTACCAGCCTCACTGCACATTGCTGGCGTTGGATGCTAGGTGCCCCCCACCACTAAGATATTTTAATAATTGGATAAATGGACCTGCAGGATTGCTTCAGTTTTTATTTCTTCAGTTGCTAATGAGGAGCAAGTTGTTTTTCAAGCATTTTTTTTCCCCCTGCACTGGTGGGAACTTTGTTCCTAATCTTTGCTTTTCCTTTGTTTAGGTGTTGATGGTTTTTCTTAGAAATTTAAATGAGTATTTTTGTACCAGATACTTTTGTTAAGTGTTGACATTCATTTTTAAGGGTATAACATTGAGTGCTATTTTCAAGAAACGATATTAACATTTTTGTTTTCTAGCTGGTTTAGGTGAATTCCGAATTCGTGACCTGAATGATGAAATTAACAAACTGCTAAGAGAGAAAGGACACTGGGAAGTCCGGATAAAGGAGCTGGGCGGTCCTGATTATGGAGTAAGTAAGCAGCGGTCTCAGTGGATCTTGGGGGTAAGCCAGTGAGCTTTTTTAGCAGCCTGGGTAGCTTTGCATCCTCTGCAGCTCCCAGCCCACGTCTGCCACAGAGTGGGCACTTGAGGGATGAAAGAAGGTTTGGGAAGTGCCCATTGCATGTGGACAGGAAACATGGAAGGGATGGGTAGGATAATTTTTTTTTTTTAAGATTTTATTTATTTGACAGAGACACAGCAAGAGAGGGAACACAAACAGGGGGAGCGGGAAAGGGAGAAGCAGGCTTCCTGCTGAGCAGGGAGCCCGATGCGGGACTCGATCCCAGAACCCTAGGATCATGACCTGAGTCGAAGGCAGACACTTAACTGACTGAACCACCCAGCCGCCCCGGGTAGGATAATTCTTAAACACCCCATAGCACAGCCCTCAGAGCAGACAGGGCACCTGAGTTTACTGCTCAGATGGTCTTGGGGTGCCTGGCTGGCTCAGTCAGTGGAGCATGCAGTTCTTGATCTTGGGGTTGTGAGTTTGAGCCCCATGTTGGGTGTAGAGATACTTAAAAGAATAAAAATGTTTAAAAAACAAAAGAAAAACGACCACGGTCCCTTTGCATCATCCCTGAGCTCCTTGGAAGTCGGGGCAGCCATTGTTGGGTTCTTTACCTGAGGGGGCCTCGGGGGCCCTCCTTTCTTTGGACTATCATTTTTTTTTTAATGTTTTGTTGATTTATTTGTCAGAGAGAGCGAGGGAGGGAGAGCACAAGCGGGGGAACAGCAGGCAGAGGGAGAAGCAGGCTCCCCGCTGAGCAGGGAGCCCGATGCGGGACTTGATCCCAGGACCCTGGGATCATGACCTGAGCGAAGGCAGACGCTTAACTGACTGAGCCACCCACGTGTCCCTCTTTGGACTATCATAAATTCAGTTCTCTATCCTGGCTGTCAAGTTTTTAGGACCGTGACCCATTGTAAAACACATGCATACCAACTCTCTATCACAACCCAGTACACACAAAAATGTACCGAAAAAATGCATGGTGATGCATGTTGATATTTTCTATTCTGTTATATTTTGATTTTAAAAAATTGATGATTGTGACCCACTTAATTGATTTCATGACTCACTCATGGGTCTTGACTTTAACAAATACTACCCCAGAGTCCTCCCCATTTATTCATTTGTGAAGAGATCTACCTCAGGTCGTTTGACCTGGTCAGCGAGCTGTAATGTGTTATGTAGGAAGTATGTGAAGTTTTTCTAATCTGCTGGTATTTTCACTTTTATGACCGTTTAACACACATAATTCTCACTTTAGTACCTGGCGTAAAAACGAAGGAGAGGCATTCATGTTTCTTGAGCCCTGGTTTTGTTCTTGGCACTGCATGAGGAACTTTCTCACTTACTCTCTCGAGCAGTTCGGTGACGGTGATTTTATGTGTCCTATCAGACAGCTTTAAATTAAAGTAATGCAGAAGTTTGGTAACCCTCCCGGAAAAATGACCTCAGAAGCAATCAAAAATGAATATGTAAGGTATTCTTAACTGCCACCACCGAAAGTCAACATTAATTTTCTTAAAATTTTCATTGTTATTTTTTAATGAAATATAGTTGACACACAATATTACATTTATTTCAGGCGTACCACGTAGTAATTCAACAATTCTGTACATTATGCCATGAGCGTTGTTAACCATTTGTCAGTACACAGTTACTACATTATTGACTATATTTCTTTAAAAAAATTAAAAAAAAATTCCAGTATAATTAGTTTCAGGTATATAATACAGTGACGCCACAATTTTGTACATTACCCAGTGCTCATCATGATACATGTACTCTTAATCCCCTTCACCAATTTCACCCATCCCCCCTCCCTCCTCCCCTCTGGTAACCATCAGTGTATTCTCAGTATTTAAGAATCTGGTTTTTTGTCTCTTTTTTTAGTTTGTTCATTTGTTTCTTAAATTCCACATACGGGGAAAGTCATGTATTTTTTTTTCCTCTGGCTGACTTAACTTTACTTAGCATGATACCCTACAGATCCATCTATGTTGTTACAAATGGCAACATTTCATTAATTTTTATGGCTGAGTAATATTCCATTGTGTGTATATATTTATATTTATATATTTATATATATAGTCCATTATATATATATGTGTGTGTGTGTGTGTGTATCCCATGTCTTCTTTATCAATTCATCAGTCGATGGACACTTGGGTTGCTTCTATAGTCTTAGCTACTATGAATAATGCTACAGTAAACATAGGAGTGCATATATCTTTTCAAATCAGTGTTTTCGTATTCTTTGAGTAAATCCCAGTAGTGCAATGACTGGATCTTATGGTAATTCGATTTTTAATTTTTTTAGGAACCTCCATACTGTTTTTCACAGTGGCTATACCAGTTTGAATTCCCACCAGCAGTGCAGGAGGGTTCCTTTTTCTCCACATCTTTGCCAACACTTGTTGTTTCTTGGGTTTTTGATATTAGCCATTCTGACAGGTGTGAGGTGATAACCACACATTGTAGTTTTGATTTACATTTCCCTGATGATGAGTGATGTTGAGCATCTTTCATGTCTTCTTTGGAAAAATGTTCATGTCTTCTGCCCATTGTTTAATTGGATTGTTTTTGGGTGTTTAATTTCTATATATTTTGGATATTAACCTCTTATTGGTTATATCATTTGCAAATATCTTCTCCCATTCAGTAGGTTGTCTTTTAGTTTTATTGATTGTTTCCTTCGCTGTGCAGAAGCTTTTATTTTGATATAGTCCCAATAGTTTATTTTTGCTTTTATTTCCTTTGCTTCAGGAGACATATCTAGAAAAATGTTGGTATGGCTGATGTCAGAGATATTACTGCCTATGCTCTCTTCTAGGACTTTTATGGTTTCAGATCTCACATTTAGGTCCTTAACCCATTTTGAGTTTATTTTTGTGCATGGTGTAAGAAAGTGGTCCAGTTTCATTCTTCTGCATGTGACTGTCCAGTTTTCCAAACAGCATTTATTGAAAAGACCGTCTTTTTTCCATTGGATGTTCTTGTCTCCTTTATTGTGCATTAATTGACCGTATAATCCTAGGTTTATTTTTGGGCTCTCTGTTATGTTCCACTGATCTATGTGTCTGTTTTTGTGCCTCTGTCATACTGTTTTGATTATTATAGTTTCGTACTATATCTTGAAATCTGGAATTCAGCTTCATTTTTCTTTCTCAAGATTGCTTTTGCTGTTCAGGGTTTTTGTGGTTCTATACAAGTTTTGGTGTTATTTGTTCTAGTGTTTTGAAAAATGCTGCTGGTATTTTGATAGGGATTGCATTAAATCTGTAGATTGTGTTGTGTAATACGGACATTTTAACAATATTAATTCTTGTACATGAGTGTGGAATGTCTTTGTCATTTTCAATTTCTTTTATCAGTGTTTTATAGTTTCAGAGCATAGGTCTTTCACCTCCTTGGTTAAGTTGATTCCTAGGTATTTTATAATTTTTGGTGCAATTCAACATTAATATTTTAATGTATTTCTTTATCTAGAGTTTTTTCAGATTTTATTTTTAAGTAATCTCTACACCCAACGTGGGGCTTGAACTTAACAACCCTGAGGTCAAGAGTTGCATGCTGTACTGACTGAGCCAGCCAGGTGCTCCTCTTTCTAGAGTTTTTTAATGCTTAACAATTTTATTTCCATTTTCTATGTGTAAAAATAATACATTTAGGATCTTAGTTTCACAAGATGAGAAGAGTTGTGGAGATGAATGGTGGTGAGGGTTACATGATAATTATGAACATATTTAATGTCACTGAACTGTCCACTAAAAATGGTAAATTTTGTTATGTATATTTTACCACAATAAAGAAAAGAAAAAGTAGTACATGGTCATTTAAGGTCAGAAAAGTATAAAGAAAGCAGAAGAGCATTCAGTCAGAATGCTATTACCTGGATGCAGCTGCTTGAATAATTCCTTCCATTGTTTGTCTGTTAATGCCATGATTGAGATCACACTCACTGTCTACAACTTTGGTTGTAGCATTTGTGCTTCTTTCCAAAATGGTAACATTGGTTATGTAGATACTACATAGTTCTGTGCAAAAAAGAGAGAGAGAAAATATAAAAAGTGTAAAAATTATAAAATATTAAAAAACTATGTTATATTCTATGCATGATATAGAATATGTTATATATTTTTCTAGCCCACAGAAATAACTGCTACTGACATTTTCTACGTATCTTTCTAGCTTTTTTTCTATGCATATATATGTTCATTTTTACAGGATTGTTTCTTATTCAGCTATGTGCTTTGTTCACTTAATAGTGTATCAGGAACATAATTTCATGTCAATAATCATTTGTATCACTATTTTATTTATTTTTATTTTTTTAAGATTTTATTTATTTATTTGACAGAGAGACACAGTGAGAGAAGGAACACAAGCAGGGGGAGTGGGAGAGGGAGAAGCAGGCTTCCTGCAGAGCAGGGAGCCTGATGCAGGGCTCAATCCCAGGACCCCGGGATCATGACCTGAGCCGAAGGCAGACGCTCAATGACTGAGCCACCCAGGCGCCCCTGTGTCACTATTTTAAAAAGCATTTTTGAGAAAGTTGGAAAATCAGTAGAGAGAACTCATATATCATTCATACAGATTTACCAGTTTTTGATACTTTGCTGTATTTACTTTGTCATTTTCTTACCTTGAGATTTACTTTTTCTGAACCATTTGAAGCTTAAATACATCATGCTTCCTTACCCCTTAATACTTAATATCTCTGTGTGTATTTTCTAAGAGTAAGAATATTCTCTTACATAACCGTGGTAGAATTATCAAGTGTAAGACATTTAACTTTGATACAATCATTTTATCCATCCTACTTGGCTGTTTCACTGATTTTCCCAATAATCTCCTTTTTAGCATTTCCCCCTCTAAGACAGGGCCTAGTCCAGGGTCACATACTACATGTGGTTGTTGACCTCATCATTTTTGATGGATAGAATTCTGTCTTCAGGATGTATTTCATTTGTCTTTTACTGCTTGTCATTAAAGTTGTTTGCAATTGTTTAAGTTTTTTCACTTAGGTCATATCATAAGTGTTTTCCTAAGGCAATACAAAAGTTTCATAAGAATCATCATTTTTAAGGTATAGAATATATTCCATCCTTGACTATGCTATAATTTACTTAAAAACATCCTCATACTGTTAGGTATTTAGACTGATTTTAATTTATGAAAAAAATGAACCTAAGTATTTTTCTCTGTACATTAATATTTTCCCACATTCATTGTTATTATCTTAAACTATATTTGCAAATATGGAAATAGTGGGTTAAAGGATCAGATCCATTTTCTCTTTTTCCTTCCCAATAAGAAAGTTGGCCCTAAAATGCTGGATCATGAAGGGAAAGAAGTCCCAGGAAATCGAGGTTACAAGTACTTTGGAGCAGCAAAAGATTTGCCTGGGGTCAGAGAGCTTTTTGAAAAAGAACGTAAGTAACTGCTAATGTATGTGAAGGTTTTAGCCTCTAATTGCTGGTGATCATCATAACACATCTGTAGGCTAGGTGCTTTTCCTATATTGTTTCTCAGCTGCACAGCAGTGGTGTCAGAATTATTGTTCCCAGATTTGAAATGAGAAACTATAAGTATTAGGAGTTGAAGTCAGAGGCCCACGGCACAAGCTGGGGCTGGGAGGTGGCTCCAGAATCAACTGGTACCAGATGCTCACCCTTGGCATGTGCCAGTCTCTCAGCCCCAATGTTTTCCCTGTTTGAAGTTGCCTCTGATTATCAGGGCAGTCTCTGATGTTCATTGAAACGGGTTCCTGTTTCAGTTACTTATTAGTTGAAAAATCCCTGCCTGAAGAACAAGTACAACCTTGGGCCAAACCCCAGGAGGTATAAATGGAGAAAAGTGGAACGGCTATGTGTGGATCCACACTGCTGGTCCCCTCACCTGGCCTGTCTTTTCCCTCCGTGGCCCTGGGGAGCTTCAGCCAAACCTTGGCCTTCCAAAATGCACTTGGAAACCACTAGCCTGGAGTGTTTGTGGATTTTTAATTTTTCTATAAAGTCTAAACACGTTATAGAAAAAAGTATGAATAGCAGAGAAGAATGACACCAGTATTCTCACCGCAGTTGGCATTCTGCTCTGTTTCCTTCCAGTTTTTCTGTTGGTTTAAAAATATAGTTCTACTATATTAAGCCCTGCTTATTTTTAAATTAATTATGCCCAAACTGGCATGCGTTATTAACAACACTTAAAAATAATTCAGGGGGAAGTGCTCCTGGCTGGCTCAGTCTGTTAAGCATCCGACTCTTGATTTCGGGTCCGGTCATGATCTCAAGGTCATGAGATTGAGCCCTGCATTAGGCTCTGTGCTTTAGGGGGGAGTCTGCTTGGGATTCTCTCTCTCCCTCTTCCACTGCCCCTCGCCCCCCTAAAAAATCTTTAAAAATAATAACATTAATTCAGGGGGTGCTTGGCTGGCTCAGTTGGTGGAGTGTGTGACTTTTGATCTCAGGGTTGTGAGTTTGAGCCCCATTTTGGGCATAGAGATTACTTAAAAAATAAAATCTTAAAAAAAATAATTCATAATTTAAATATTATGCTGTTCATTATGAAAGTAATATAATTTTATTACAGAGAAGTTGTAAAATACAGAAAATCAGAAAAAAATCATCTATATTTTCACATCCTGTAGATGACAGTTGTTGACATGTTGGGGCATATTTCCTTCCAGTTTTTAAAGGGAAATGTTACAACCCAACAGATTGGTCAAAGAATCAAAGCTGATAATTTAAGAAGAAAAAATTCGTATGTATAAAAATACATATGTGGAGGGGGGCTCCTCTATTGAGGTTATGCTGCACATACAATTTGCATTTTTCTAAAAAAAATCAGTCGTAGATTTTTTTTTTTAATAAGAAAGTGCTTAGGTATTTTTTTTTTTTTAAGATTATTTTATTTGAGAGAGAGAGAGGGGGAGAAGCAGGCTCCCCGCTGAGCAGGGAGCCCAATGGGGGTTCCATTCCAGGTTCCCGAGATTATGACCTGAGCCGAAGGCAAACGGTTAACCGACTGAGCCACCCAGGTGCCCCAAAAGTGCTTAAGTCAGTCTTAATGAGTATAATTCAGATGCACTGTCCCCTGGGTACTCCCCATCCCTGTGCCTCTGGATCACTGGTAATCATAATTATCTGTTTCGTGCATTCCCTTCCAGGCCTTTTTTTATGCACTTACATGCTTATTTCATCAGCTAAATTTCATCAGTATGAGTGACAGATGACTCAACCCCAGTTCCGTTTAGGTAGAAAAGTGAATTTATTGACTCACATAACTGAAAAGCCCACGGGTAGTTTGTCTTCAGGAATGGCTGATTGCAGGTCACATTTCCTCCCTGTTGTAGTTTTGACTTCCAGCCTGTGAGCTTGTTTCTCTATCTAGCTCTCTGCTTGTGGTGGCAAGTGGTCCATCATCAGTTTACGTTTTGTCCTCTGTCAGCAAGAGATTTTTTTCCCCCAAGTGGTTCAAGCAAAACTCCTAGAATTGAAGCTGTTTGGCTTTGATCAGATCATAGTTCAATCCTTAAACCAGTCCCTATGACAGGGAGGGATGCAGTGTTCTGAGCCAGCCAGGTTTTAAGCCCTGTAACCAGTGCTGGGTGCAGCCAGCATCATCACAGGACAGGGACCAGGAGTGGTGCAGGGGTGGACAGACTCGCCATTACCGGCGTCAGGGTGATAAGTGGAGGCCTGCGAAGACCCAGTGGCCCTCCCATACCTGTTGTGTTGTGCTCTGCCTTGATGTCCTCCCATCGTTCTGCTTAGAACTCTGTGAGTGGATGTGAAGAACTAAAGCATAGGATATGAATTAACTTTATATAACCATTCATCCATTCGTAGACCTTTAGCTATTTCTAGTTTTCTGTAGTTCTAAAATTTTTGCTGATCTGATGGTTGAAAATACATTATTTTTACTTTTTATTTCCCTGATTACTAATGAAATTGATAATTGAATTCAATTACTTTTTTTTTTAAGATTTTATTTATTTATTTGACAGAGGGAGCGAGCACACAGGCAGGGGGAGCGGCAGGCAGAGGAGAGGGAGAAGCAGGCTTCCCTGCTGAGCAGGGAGCCCGATGTGGGACTAGATCCCAGGACCCTGGGATCATGACCTGAGCTGAAGGCAGCCACTTAACCGACTGAGCCACCCAGGTGCCCTGAATTCAATTACTAATTGAAATTTTTATACATATGAATTTTTTCTTCTGAAACAATCAGCTTTTACTTTTTCACCTAACTGTTGGGTTGTCATTTCCCTTTTGATTTTTTTTTTTTTTTAAGATTTTTTAGTTTTAAGTCATCTCTACACCCATCGTGGGGCTCAGACTCATGACCCCGAGATTAAGAGTCCAACGCTGCACCGACTGAGCCAGGCAGGTGCCCCTCCGTTTTGAGTTTCAAGAATTACTTAAATATTCTGAGTAGTAACCCTTAGTTTGAAAATATTTTCTTCAGGACTTTCTCATTTATCTTTTTGGTTTGTTTATAGTTTCTTTTGTCTTATCTCTATATTTACATTTTTCCATCATATTTTTTTTAATTAAACCTCATGACATTTCCTGTGTTATCAAAACACCTTGTGAAATAGCTATAGAGGGGCCGTAGGGTACCCCATTCCCCACACATCCTGTAGTTGACAGCCCTGGTTATTCCAGGTTTTCACGACACTCTCAACAAGGCACATCTCTGTGCCTGCTTTTGTTTTTGTTTTTTAAATTAGGATAAATGCCTTCTAAGTAGACTAATTGGATTAAAGGTTTCAAAACTGATTGAAAAAAGGGTTGTACCACTTATGTAATTCTGTGGCTAGTATAGGAAGGGCCTATGTCATGGTGTTTTCTTGAGTGCACCCCCTGGCTGTGTAACGTTGTATAGGATGCTGGCTCAAGTGATTGTGGTGGGATGTTTAGCTAAGTTGGTGTGGTTTCTTTTAGCTCTTCCTCCTCCAAGAAAGACACGTGCTGAGCTCATGAAAGCAATCGATTTTGAATACTATGGTTACCTCGATGAAGATGATGGTGTCATCGTGCCTTTGGAACAGGAATATGAAAAGAAATGTAGGTCTATGAGCAATTTATTTCATTATAGATGGCATCTGGTTTCTGTTCTGTCCTTTGAAAATGAGTTTTTACATAGCGCTCTATGCCAGAAGCGAGTTTGTTTTATTGCTGATGGTCTTCAGAAGACATGGGCTGCTAATGACCTAACCCTCCGTAACTGTGATGCAGTCCGGGGCTGTGTGGGGCCAGAAGCAGCACGTGGAGGATACCCAAGAGCGACATTGGACCTGTTTCCCGTCCATGGGGAATTTATTATCTGGATTCCTTCCCACGTTGGCCTTTCTTGAAATCAGGAAATGGTGCCCATATAAGTGGCTTTTCTTTTTTTTTTTAAAGATTTTATTTATTTAACAGAGCGAGAGAGCACAAGTAGGCAGAGAAGCAGGCAGAGGGAGAGGGAGAAGCAGGGTCCCCGCTGAGCAGGGAGTCCGATGTGGGGCTGGATCCCAGGACTCTGGGATCATGACCTGAACCGAAGGCAGTCACTTGACCGACTGAGCCACCCAGGCGCCCCTTAAGTGGCTTTACAATCTGCTTTAAACGCAGCTAATAAGTTATCAGTGTAGAGCAAGATGGGTGGCTCTTTCTGAGTGCTTCCTCCATGCCAGGCACTGTGCTGAGCATTTTATGGACCCCATCCTGAAGCCTCCTGATGGCCCTGTGAGGAATAGTTAGTGCTGATCTTCTGGTGGTGTGTTGAGCTAGGGCTCTGGGGGCAGGTGGCCAGGAGCCTGAGCCCTTTCCTAGCAGCATATACTACTGTGTCTCCCTTGTCATGTGGGTGTGTGAGGAAGCTACTCAGGTTGCTAAACTGGGGATGATCTGGGGACGTCCCCTAAAAAGCTGCCTTGTTGTGACTTCCAGCTAGAGCTGTGGTATGACCAGACTACCCCTCATACCCCAGTCCTGCCTGCCAGGGCAGAGTGGAGCGCTCTCTTCTTCAGAGCGGACACGTGGGCCTAGCCCTGCGTGGTGGGCAGAGCTAATTCAGAGGCCTGACTAAGCAGCACCTGTTTCTCCAGTCAGGGCCGGATTGGTGGAGAAGTGGAAAGCAGAGCGAGAGGCCCGGCTGGCAAGAGGAGAAAAGGAAGAGGAGGAGGAGGAAGAGGAAGAGATCAACATATATGCTGTCACCGAGGAGGAGGTACTCTGGGCACTGGGGGCCCCGGTGCTCACTGCTCCGAGCCACGAAGCCTGGGCCTGGGGAGAATCAGTGGAGTGGTAGGAAGGCTTAGCTCATTGGTGAGCAGTCAGGGTCAAAGCCCGGCTCTGCCCCAATCTCCAGGTGAGAACTCCGCTTCCTCACCTGGCAGATGGATATGAGGATCACCTTGCAGCATCCCGGGGAGGGTTCCAGAAGGGACTGGCTGTGGGAGCACCTTGTAAACTGTGCTTTACACCCAGAATTACTTACCACCTGAACATACTGCTGTCCGACTTCTAAACACATTTGAAGCCATATGAGTTATAGCCCCTGTCCCCATCATTTCTTTATATTTATCTATTCATTTATTTATTATTACCATGATTTCAGGTTCAATTATAGATCTATTGCTTATATTTTACAAAGTACCGCAGATTGGTTGGCTTAAACACCAGAAATGGATTTACTTTGGAGTTCTAGAGGCTGGAAGTCTGAGATCAAGGTGTCAGCAGAAGGTCTCATCATTTCTTTTTTTTGTTTGTTTGTTTGTTTTTAAATGGCAGTGCCAGTAGCTCTTCTGCAGTCTTAACACCCCCACACCCCCATGGTAGAGATAGAAACCAGCCCAGAGCAGACAAGGGACTGATGTAGAAGGTCATGGCTGAGGTGGAGCTGTGACCTGCCTCTCTGGCAGAGCCTCCTAGCTTCAGGCTCTCCAGGCCTCACTCCTTGGACACATTGAGAAAGAATAAAATGGATTTGCTGGGCTGAGAAGGGGACGGGGATTACTTGTGCATGGGCGGTAGGTCAGGTCCCGTATGAGGAGCTTGCTGTGATATCGGTGGCAAAGAAGCAGGCTCAGAGAAGGTTAGTGACTTGGTCAACATCACACAGGATATAGGCGACCTGAGGTTCCTGTGCAGGTCTGGCTGATGAGCACTGGGGACAGTGAAGCATTTGAAGTAAGCTGGCCGCATGCCCTCGGAAGGTCTCGTCTCTTCTCTTCTTTCTCTTCCCCTCCCCTCCCTCCCTTCCTTCCTTCCTTTTTTCTTTTCCCTGAGTGGAGCCCAGTCGGGGCTTGAACTCAAGACCCTGAGATGAAAACCTGAGCTGAGATCGAGAGTCAGATGCTTAACCAACTGAGCTACCCAGGCACCCTTACCTAGGAAGGTCTTCTTTAGCTGCAAATATTCATTTGCTCTTTCAGCAGCTATTTGCTTAATTAGTGGCTACTGTGAGCCAGGCCCATGCCAGGGGCACAGCAGTAAACAAGCTCTGCTTATAGCTTAAAGTCAGTGGGGAGACAGTCCAGTGGGTAGAGTCGATGGAAAACAGTGGCTGTCACAGCAGCTCTGAGATAGTGACACGGTGTGGGGAGAACCCGTGAAGCCTTTCCTGGGGAACTGACCATTCAGCTGAGGCCTGGAAGATCAGGAGAAGTTAACCAAGTGAAAGGCGTTGAGGGAAGAGTGTTCCAGGCAGAGGGAGCAGCATGTACTGAGAGATGCCGTGGGAGTGTGAGGGACAGAGGACAGGCCAGTGTGGCTGAAGCACAGTGTGGGCTGCTGGTGGGGAGAGGAGAGGAGGCGGGAGAGAGGGGCAAGGCAGGACAAGCGCCCCAGCTCCACCGGGAGGAGGCTTTGCCTTTATCCAGAGAGCAGTGGCAAGCCACCGGAGGTGGTTGTGGGTCTTTTTTTAAATTTGAAATAATTTACAGGAAGCTGTAAAGGTAGTAGAGAGGGTCCTGTGCATCCTTCACCCAGTTTCCCCCAATGGTTACATTTTCCAGAGTTATAGTACAATATCCACACTAGGAAACGGAGTTGGTGTAATGAGTGTATAGAGTTCAGTGTCTTTTATCATGTGTAGATTTGTGTAACCACCGACTGTTTGTTTCTTTCTCTTTTTAAAGATTTCTTTATTAGAGAGAGCGCATGTGGTGGGGAGGGGCAGAGGGAGAGAGAGTCTTAAGCAGACTCTGTGCTCAGCATGGAGCCTGACGTGGAGCTCGATCTCACGACCCTGAGATCATGACCTAAGCTGAAACCAGGAGTTGGCCACTTAACTGACTACACCACCCAAGCGCCCCTGTAACCTCCATTTCAATCAAGATATGGAACTGTTCCCTCCATGCGCTGCTCCCTTACAGTCACACCTCCCTCCTTCCCCCATCCCTCACCCCTATCTCTCTCATTCTGTCATTTTGAGAATGTTTCATAAGTGAAATCATACCTTATGTCACCTTTGGGGATGGTCCCTACACTGAGCACAATGCCCTTGAGATCCATCAGAGTTGTTGCATTCAAGAGTTCATTCCTTTTTATTGCTGAGTAGTATTCCATATAGAGAAGTATGCAAGTGGTAAGTGGGCAGGTCGGTGCATTTTCACAAGGCAAACAACCCCATGGAGCAAATACCAGGTGAAGAAATGGAACATGACCATGACCAGCACCCTGGAAGCTTGCTCCTGCCCTCCTGGGTGTTACTCTTCTGACCTCTAATAACCCTTAAGCTCTTACCTGTTTCTGAACTTGATGTCAGTTGGTGGAATCATGCATACTCTTTGGTGTCTAATGATTGTGGGTGCCTGTTTAGCGTCCAGTTTGGGGCTATACCAAATAAGGCTGCTGTGGCCTTTCTTGTTCACAGGCAGCCGTTTATGTTGCTTGTACACGGAGGAGTGGAATTATCAGGTCATAGGGGAGGCTCGTGCTGGGCTTCAGTAGATAACGGCTAAACTGTTTCCCAAAGTGCAGGGCCCGGTTTGCACTCCTACCGGCAGCATCCAAGACATTCCACTGAAGGGTCTCCAGCCAGCTCCACTGGGCAGCAGGTGTGCCGAGAGGCTGGTGCGGGGCACCCAGCACCCCACAGGAGTCCTCTTCTCAGGTTTCCAAGGCCACAGTATTTCCTTAGGTGATGAGTAATCTCTTTTGACTCACGCGCAGACTCTGAGTTGATCTTTTTTCTGTATGTGGTACATTTTAAAATCTTAATTAAACAAAATAGATAACATTTACAAGGTTCAAAAGCCACAAAAATACATAAAGATCAACAAAGGTTCTCTAGTTCTCTAGGTGCAGAGATGTACCTGGTTCTCACGGCTCTCGCTAGTTTCTGTTCTTATCTTCTTTCCTCAGACAAAAGGTGGCATAATTTACACAGTGCTTTGTTGAGTTTTAAATAGTTAATGGTGTGTCTTCGTGTCTTTCTGAGCACTGAACTTCCTCATTCCTTTTGTTTCTTCCTTTTAAACAGCTGCATAGTTGTGCATTTTTGTAGTGGTCCCAGCCTGTGTTTTAATGGGCTCCTGCTCACTGACTTTTTGGTGCTTCTGCTTGTAGTCTGACGAGGAAGGCAGCCAGGAGAAAGGAGGTGAAGACGGGCAGCAGAAGTTCATCGCCCACGTCCCAGTGCCATCCCAGCAAGAGGTAGGACAGAGGCGGGGAGCTGCCCTTGGCTGTGGAGCTTCCCCAGCGCCAGGGGCCTCGCCTCTAAAGGAGATTGCACAGAGTGGGGGAGTGGGTTTTCCTCGTCCTTCCTATCCCTTAGGGCAGCTCTGACTCCGACCGCATGCGCCTGGTCACTCTGCTCACAATAGGGTGTGGAATCCGGGGGAGGCAGGATCTCGTCTGCGTTAGGGTGGGGAAGAATGGGGCTCTGGGAGATGCCTCTGGGTTTTGGCTCCTTGATGGTCTCTGTCCCAGGAACTGCCTCCTGGCTGGGTTCCGGCAGGGCAGGGAGGGCCTCGCTGAGGAGTAAAGCATGAACCCTTTCTTCGTGCCATCCACAGATTGAGGAGGCCCTTGTGCGGAGGAAGAAGATGGAACTCCTCCAGAAGTATGCTAGTGAGACCCTGCAGGCCCAGAGCGAAGAGGCCAAAAGACTTCTGGGCTACTAGGGCTGAGCTGGGACGTGCTCAGGGTCTGGAAATCTGCCGGGAGGCCGTCATCCCCTGCTGGCCCTTGGTGAGCCCACCGGACTCGCTGTCCTGGGGTTGCAGATGGGCTGGCTCGTGCTGCGAGTCTTCCTGCTACTTCCCTTACCTTTTCTAACCCCCTCTCCTGATCTGAAGGGACGGGCTGCGTGCCTCCCTGGCAGGCTGTCTGCACTGAACCCTCAGCTGTCACTTTTGTACAAATGTTTGCTATTGTAGGAACCCATTTATTTTTATCTAGAGTGTGTAAAACAGGCTGCCTGTGTTTTACTTAGCTTTGTACTGTCATTTGCTGGGGAGGGAGGTCAATTTATGACTACCATTAAAAAGATGGCAGTTTTTCCTAAAAAGACATACTGCTACCTCCTCTTGAAAAATGAGAAAATGTGTCAACCCTGGGCCCACAGTCCCACGTGTCAGCCGCCAGCCTGAGCTGTTCCTTTTGGGTCGGGTACTACTCCAAGTTCTCCATGGCCCACTCAGCCTGCCTCATTCCCTCCTGCCCAGGTGGCAGGAATTTCACTTTGATACTTCTGTCTTATGACTCGTTCTGAAGAGAGCTATTTTTATTAAAGATTTTTTATATGAAAGGGCAACCTCTATGTCTGCAGCGTGGTCCCTGGGAACCGTACTGAGGCGACGGTCGCCTTGGGATGCCAGGTGCAGAGTCACCGCTGGGGACAGAGGCCCAAAGCACACAGCCCGGGTGTGGGAGGGATGGGACCCGTCCCGGGCTCCCTCTCAGAGCTGAGAGCTGAGGTGGGCGGGCAGCGCTGTCCTCACCAAAGCCCCGAGTGGCCTGGGTCAGAGCACACACGGATGCCCAGGAAGCACCGGTCGGGGCCGAGCCTGCCCTCTGGGCGGGGTCTGTTCTTTCCAGAAGAACAGGAGCTGACAGCAGAGACGGGACACAGCAGTCTCTGGGGCTGTGTGTGTGTGTGTATGTGTGTGTGTGTGAGGGGGCTCCACACACTCTGGAGGGCTCCTGGGAGCGTCTGGGAGTCAGTGTCAGGACCCGGTGGTTGTCCTTTGGGGTCGGGCCCCAACTCGGACTGTGTGTCAACAGGAGGCCCTGCTTGGAGAAGCCCAGGACACAGCGGGGAGCTGGGCTCTTCGGGTGGGTCTGGGGGTCTGCCTGTCAGGGGAGCAGCGGGTCAGGGAACGCAGAGCCCCGTGTGGCTGGGGGTGGCGAGTGTCAGGGGAGAGCGTGGCCAGGCCGTGGACGGCGCTGACGGGCCCCTTGAGGGAGCCTGAGGGCAGCAGGGAGCCGGGCAGAGCCAAGCAAGGGGGTGACCCGGTCAGCGTGTGACCTGCTTTAGGAAGCCGGTTAGCCGGTGTGGAGCCGGATGTGGAGCCAGGAGGCAGGAGCAGTTGGAGGCTGGCTGGCGTGGGGAGTGGGGAGTGGCCGCGTGGGAAAGGTGACAAGAGGGTGAGGAGAGGAGATGTGACTGGGGTGGGGCCACCCTGCATCCTGGCTTCCCTGAAGGAAGGGCTGGCGCGGTCCCTCCGCAGCTGAGCCCCCGGGTGAATGTGTGCAGGGAGCAGGGGGGAGGCGGGGTTGCAGCTTTGGGAGCCCCTAGGGGAGGGGCAGGGCCAGGCTCAGCTCTGGGACCTAGGCCCCTGGCCTCAGTTTCCCTGTTTTAAAGCCCAGGACTTTGTCCCAGGGTCTGGCAGTGCCACGGTGTGGGCAGAGGCAAGAGAGGACCCTCCTCACAGCCTCTGTCGGGGGGGGTGTGGGCGTGTGGGGGCCCGGCTCAGACCACCCACTTAGGGGTTTTTCTTCCAAGGGGCACATGCAGGCTTGGGGGCTGCCCTGAACTCAAGGACAGCAGGAAATTCAAACCGCAGGCATTTCTTCTCCCTGGAAAAGGTGATTGGAAGTGCCTGGAGCGTGGCCCCTCTGGAAGGCCCAGGCTCCGGGCCTTCATCGTTCAGTCAGTGGAATTACCAGGATTCTAACCTCTGGGACAGAGCCAGAAACAGGAGCCCCTGCTCCAGCCCTGCAGTGTACAAAGCCTCTCCCAGCCGGGATCTTGCAGTGGCTTGCCGAGTCGCAGGCAGGACAGGAATTAGTGTCCCCTGTCTGAGGGAACTGAGACTGGTGGAAAAGCACCTAGCACCATGTCCTACATGTGTCCTTGGCAGAGATGGACCCAACCCCAGGTTTCTTCCTGTCCTGGAGGCCCTAACTGCTTGCCTGCCTGCCAGGGGCCCCAGAGGGAACGTCTCTGCGGGGCTCCCATTCCAGGCCTGGAACAGCAGAGGAGTCGGCTTGGCAGGTGTCACCAGTAGTGGGGATGTGGTTCCCTTGGCCCAGTTCATTGCTCAGAGGCAAAGGAACCAGTCTTGGGAGGCTTGAGTTTGTTGACAAAATCTGTTTCACGGTTTATATTAGCTTTGGCTGTCTGAAGTTTCCAAAAAGGCGACTTTCCATAGATATATTTCCATAGACTCCCCTCTCCTTTGCTCACCTCACTGGTTTTCCTGTGAGTAAAACATCAGTCTTCTTGTTTTGCTTTAAGATTCATCAGACCAGCTCCACCCAGGCCTTAGGCCGGCCTTCCTCCCCCTATCTGCACTCTGCCCCCTGACGCTTGTGTTCCTGCTCTTGAGCAATGTCTAAACAAGGAAGAGATTAACGTCGTTCTCCTCTGACCCTGGATACCTTGGGCAGCTATGAGAGGGACAAGCCTGTCACAGGGAAGCAAAATGCTGGTTATGTTGCCGCAGACTGCCCCACTTCCACCCCACCCCATCCGCTAACAACTGAACTGGAGAAGAGACATCAGCATCCCACTGCCTCCTCCCAAAGCCTCAAGACAGGATGCGTGGGAGTGTCTCAGCCCCTGCTCACAGGAACTGTGAAGCGGTGACAGCGGGAACCCATCTGGGTACATCAGGCCTTCCCTAACGGGGCAGGCAGTACTTGACTTGAGCAGATGGGTCCCCAGGGAGACTAGTGGCAGGCAGGGAGAGCAGGGCTGATCCCCATCGGTCCCTCTGGCTAGGCCACGGAGGATTCTGTGAAAACTGGCAAGTTAGAGGGTCTGGGGAAAAGGAGGGGTGGTTGAACAGATCATGTTGGAGGAGTAAGGTGGAACAGGGTGTTCCAGAGGGTCTGGGGTTTATCACTGAAGTTTGAGCTGGGGAGTGGCCTCATCAGAGCCCTTCCAGCAAGCCCATTTGGTGGGGGAGGGGGACTGTGGGGACTGGAAGCTGATGGGAGGAAGCCAGGGCAGTCCTGGGTGGGGGCACTGTGCCAGGCAGAGGGTGGCATGGAGTTGGTAGAGGTTGGAGTAGGGGTGCTGAGAGCCATTCGATCCCTTATTTTCAGGCAGAGCCTCAAGCATGAAATGGGTACCATCAACAGAAGCAAGGAGGGCTGGGGTTCATTTGACCCGTGTTTATGATGTTTTGGGGTTCTGGGAGTGAGGAGAGAGTCACATGGCTGGCATTTCTTTGGCCTTCAGGTGGGCTGAGGGCTGGCCCCTGGGAGGGAGCCTTCCCAGTTCTCAGCCAGCACCCACCCAGGGCACCTAAGTCTATAATCGCACCATTATATTCTAATATTGCGTAGCAAGCGCTCTTCTATATTAAGAATGCAGGGTATCATGGTTGATGTCTGGTCTTCAGTTCTTTACAGTGTTTTCTCACCTTTGTGTCTGATGGGTCTGATGGGGGCACATTTTTAGCACCAAGTCTGGGCGCTGCCAAATAAAACTCAGATGATATTGTTAGAGGCTGTATATTTTAATCATGGTGACAGTAGAAAGAATAAAGATGAACAAAGAAAGGAAGAAAGGAACGGAGGGAGGAACGAAGGAAGGGGAAGAAAGGTGGCATTTGTCCCTCTAGCCACTTGGAGGAGTTCTGATCCACAGACTGTTGGGGTTACAGCAGATACTTCAGTTTATTAACTGGGATGGTGTGCCCCCATGTGGCAACAGCACAAACACAGTTTAAACTCAGCCCACCCACTGCTAGCTTTAAGAATGTTAATTTTTTTTTTTTTAAGATTTTATTTATTGAGGCGCCTGGGTGGCTCAGTTAGTTAAGCAACTGCCTTCGGCTCAGGTCATGATCCTGGAGTCCCGGGATCGAGTCCCGCATCGGGCTCCCTGCTCGGCGAGGGGCCTGCTTCTCCCTCTAACCCTCCCTGCTCTCATGTACTCAATCTCTCTCTCTCATTCTCACTCTCTCCAAATAAATAAATCTTTTAAAAAAAAAAGATTTTATTTATTTATTTGAGAGAGAGAGGGAAAGAGCATGGTTGGGGGGGTGAGGGTCAGAGGCAGAGGGAGAAGCAGGCTCCTCACTGAGCAGGGAGCCTGACCTGGGGCTTGATCCCAGGACCCCAGGATCACCACCTGAGCCAAAGGCAGCTGGTTAACTGAGCCACCCAGGCGCCCCAAGAATGTTAAATTCTTGACACATTTTTAAAAATTTGGGATATGCATTATTTCAAACTTGGGGCATTAAGTGAGATATCATAAACAGTTTTGAATTTGAATCGCTCTGTTTCAAATGAGCATAATTCAATTTCAGATAAAATGCCACTGTACTACCACCAAAAGAGAAGAAATGCAGATTTTTTTTAACAGCTTTATTGACGTATAATTTACACACCATCAACTCTACCCATTGTAAGTGTACAATTTAAGGATTTTATTTTATTTATTTATTTTTAAAGATTTTATTTATTTATTTGACAGAGAGAGACATAGCGAGAGAGTTAACACAAGCAGGGGGAGTAGGAGAGGGAGAAGCAGGCTTCCCCGCGGAGCAGGGAGCCCGATGTGGGGCTCGATCCCAGGACCCTGAGATCACGACCTGAGCCGAAGGCAGATGCTTAACGACTGAGCCACCCCGGCGCCCACCATTTAAGGATTTTAATAAATTTCCTGAGTCATGCAGCCCTCATGACAGTCTAGTTTTATTTTTTTAAAAAGATTTTATTTATTTATTTGAGGGAGAGAGTGGGGGGTGGGGGTGGGGGGTGGTGAGGGGCAGAGGGAGAAGCAGGCTCCCTGCTGAGCAGGGAGCCTGACAAGGGGCTCGATCCCAGGACCCTGAGATAATGACCTGAGTCGAAGGCAGATGCTTATCCGACTGAGCCACCCAAGTGCCCCGACAGTCTAGTTTCAGAACATGTCCATCACCCCATAAAGACAGGTGGTAACTGGGCTTTCTGGCAAAATCCATAGCCAGATCAACATACCCCCATCCCACCCTAAACCAATGCCAGGCAAGACGAATGTAAAGGCCCGTTCAATTATTCAGCCACATGTCCACCCCACCCTGCAAATGTCTACACTCTTCCTTCCTCTCCCCTTGCTTCCAATAGCTGAGTCTTGGCTCATCCTGGCCCCTGGGCTCACCTTTTCCTTCCCTCTCTCCACCAGTGGCTGTGAGGAGCCACTCTGGGCTGGAACAGATGTTATTTTCTGGGGTTCTGAGCTTTGACATGCCCCAGAGCCAACCCCAGCCTGTGGAAGCCTTCCATCCCATCTCCTTCTGTCTCCTTCTAGCTCAGAATGGGAGATTATTTCCTGCCCCTCCAATCTGATGTAATAAAGCTGGGCTCCCAGAATTGCTT